AGTGGACGATTTCGAGAACAGAAGGTTTTTTATTTTAGTTTAAGACGTCTATTAAGGCCTAATGGTTTCGGAGAAGGAATTGGTTATGTACTCAATAGATGTATACCAGGACGCTTTGTGATTTATCACTTCGTACTGGTATGTTTTATCTAAAGTAAAAAACCTTGGCTTATTACGAGAATTTCTTTGTCTGTCTGTACTGGCTTCCAGAAAGTGTCAAGTCGGCTATTAGTATCACAGCTTGATAAGGGTGTTTAACTAAGTAACGCTATTAGCAGCTCTATCTATATATGAGCGTCTTACGAAGTAATTTCATTCGAATACACGCAACTTAGAAGAAACTTGGATAATTTCGGCAATTATAAAAGTTTCATTACTAAGAAATATCGTTAGATAATTGCCGAAATAAAACGACAATAATACTCATTTCGTCTGGACGCGAGGAACTTGCAAGAATTGGATGATTTCAGCAATTACGAATTGGATGACTTCAGCAATTACCAAATTAATTTCAACTCAAGAATTTCGGCCAAAATAATTTAGGCGCCATGTATGGGTTTATGCTGGCTTGAATAAGGGTGTCTAAGTAGGCTTTCGAGCTTTTACTGGCCCTTGGCAAGTGAGTAGATCCAGTTACTGGCCTTTTGGCAAGTGTTAGCGCTGTTACTGGCTTCTTGGAAGTGTCTAGTCGGGACTTGGGATTTCGAGTAATAAGCAATATAATATCTGATTATTTTAATACTTTACTAATTTTATTTTATTTTTTTTGATAATAGGTCGTCGGTTTCCAAGTTATTGATAATTTATTAATTAAAAAATACGCATTAGACCATTAACTTTTTACCGTTACGACAAATACAAAGACTGTGTGACACTGTGCACACTATTTACGAATCATTCGCTAGCCAAAAAAAAAGTGCGCAAAATTTGTCTGCTGCGCAAAGCCCACACAGCGAGTTGATATTAATATATAGTTATATTGTAATTAAATAAATTTAATAAATAAAGTGTTTTTGGATTACTCTATTAAGTCTTGTACTTTTGAACGTGCGTACATATGTGAAGAAAAAAGGCTATCTAATAAATTTGTTCAAGATATTTAAGTCATTAGCGTAGGTACAAACATATACACTAAAGATGCTGTTGAAATTGAAATTAATTTCACCGGTATTTCTAATAAATTGCATTTAGAGTTAATCATGTATGTCACGTACAATAATTGTCACAGTTTTGCAAAAATACGGAATTTGCCAAATCGTAGCGTAAACAAGGCCAAAAAAAAACGATATTCCATTGGAGTGCTTTTAGCAATAGTAAAGAATAAAATTCGATTTATTTTGAAAATTACATTCCAAAATCTACAATAAATGCTTCAGATGACTCGCAAAACACTTATAATAAACCGATTTATTTAAAATTTTATGAAATCCAAGTCCTGCAGCTTTCACGAAATATAATTTTATAAACAAAAAAACTCTCTGCCGACAGTCCAATAAAGTAGGGTGAAGTCTCGTAAACCTGAATAAGTGATTTTAACAAAAAAAAAAAAAAAAAAAGCTACAGTGCTACGATTGCCTAGTTTAATTTCAGGATAAAAACTTTTTACAATAAAAATTCAATATACCATATGACATATGCATACATAACTCATTAATTATTACTAGCACTGTTTTACAAATACGTAAAATTTGAACTTAAGATGCTGGTTGTGCTGGCGGTGCTGGCAATTGCAATTTTTCTCTGCAGTAATCCACAAACTATTGATATAAATTAAAAAAAAAATGAGGAACTTTATAACAAAAAAAACGTGCTAAATTCATTATAATAAACATACCTCATCAATAAGGACGGGCCAAGCGCCTTAATAAAAACTTGAGTCAATTTAGATATCATAAAACATATTTTTAATTAATTTAGATCTCTTACCTTCGGCATCGTAATTTGAAAGCTCGACATTGATTTGTTTGATAAAATCCAGCAGCTAATTACACATTGATAGGAAGAATAAATTTAATTTTTATAACGGAATTAAATTTTAACTGAAATTTGATCGAAAATTATAACATACCAGATTCCATGTGTCCTTGGAAATCGATTTGCCATGCTTCTCCTAAATCACGAATAATAATAAGCATTTATTTAATTTCTACAAGTACAAATTTTTTTTTCGTGAAATTTATTTTTACCTTGACAAACTCTATCCATATTTCAAGATGTGGCCAACGTTCATTCAATAACATCCGCCAGAATTCTATCGCGACGTCAAGACCTAATTTCAATTTTCAAAATAATTAAAAATTTTTTTTTTGTTCTTGCATTTCTATTACACAATAAAGAATAAAACTCTAATCATAGACATACTCAAGGATTTTTGGTTTTCACTTAACCCGAATTTAAATGTAAATTGGTAAATCTCCTTAAATGTGGCTTCATCATTCAACGACGCGCGAAGTCGAGGTATGGCAGCGCGCATTTTCTCAATTGAATCGCATCTAAACATTTAAAAAGTTGAAATGAATTAACATAATACGTATTATTTATAAACACTAAAAAGAAAAAAAAGAAGATTTCAAACATAATTTAATGCTATTATGCATCATCGCACCTTAATTTTGTCCATCCATTGATAAATCCTTGGCGTTTAAATTCACACATTTTATCAGCTTCAAGATTCCATGCAATAACCAGCATAACAACATCCTCAGGTGCAACGTGTAAATCGTTACAATATTCAAACATTCCATCTACTAAAATGGCATCTTCCTCTTTATCTATTTGAAAGTTTAAGTGGCAAATGAGTAAGTAATATTGAGTTAGGCGCCTAACTTTCTCGACCGATTACAAAAGTATCATGAAATAATGGACGTCTAATCTCCTTGTCTCTTCCCGAGAACGTCGACCACGATCATTCGAGGGAACAAATCAAAATAGGCTTTCGATATTTTTTTCATTTTTTTGTGAACTCAGTGTACCTTTGTATTTTGAGAATATTTGATTAAGTTTATAAACGTCTGGGTTTCCAGCATTTTGCGAGCTGCCAAAAGATCTCCAGGAGCTAGGTTGATCGTTAAAGAAAGCGTCTACTGCGACTTCTACATTCCAGTTGAATTCTCTGAGTTTCCGGATGGAGACCCTTTCACTGACGTTATTTAGGTAATCAATTAAGACAAAGTAAGAGATCTATTAGAGACAGGTTTTCCTATGAACCTTTTTGACGTCACTAGTAAACTTCTACCTGGCATTTGTAAAGGTCATAAATTGCCTGACTTTTTCTTTTTGCGCTGTTTTTAACGTATTCTACAACGATAGAAGGTTAGCAAGATTAAAATAATTATTCTAATGACTTTCTCGCTTACATAAATAAAACTCACCATGTTTTATTTGCACACAATATAAAGAAAATGTACGTACAATCCCATCTTTTAGAGGCAATTCTGAGTTTTATGAAATATAATCATGTGACACGCGGTAACAACTCCGGTAATAATGAAAGTAATCAAATTTCCGTAGTACCTTTTTGCTGCATGTGCGGCTGGAACATATGATTTATATCACAAAATTTAAAAGCTCTTAATGGTTAAAGAATTAATTGAATTAATTAAGAAAACCTAGGTCTAATCAAAAGAACTTAATCGGACAATAATAAATTATTTAAACAAAAAAACAATTTGATTTTCATTATATAACTTAAGATCTAAATTGCAAATAAAAATAAAAATATTTTATTCGTATTAATATACAATTGATTTTGTATTACAATTAATAAAATTAAAAATCTTAATATAGCTTTTAATAATTAAAAGTATATTTATAAAGGATTAACTATAAATAACTATAATATCAACCAACATCATAAATAAAAGATGAAAAAAAAATAAACGTATACAATTAGTGTTCAAAATATACACTTGTTGAGTAAGTAAAATTTACAATAGACACTTCCAAAAGTAAAATATATATTATCAATTGACAAAAGACGAGAAACAAAATATATTTCTCGATTGATTAATTAAATGGTCAAGTTACTAAATAGCGCATGATATCAGATAAAGAAACGATTCCTTTCAATTTGTTTTCCGAATCAACAACAATTAAACGATATACCGGAGCTTTCTTTATTAAGTCGAATATTGAATGAAGACAATCGTTAAGAGTACAAGTATGAACTCCAGGAAAGTCCTTAAACAAAAAGGAATCGTAACAGATTACAACAAATGAGTAGATTAATAATTCACTATAAATAGAGATCAATACCTCTGTTCTCCATAGTATTGCTTCTCCAATCGGAAGGTCCATTCCATGATACGCACCAGCACGGACCAATGCCTATTGAAAAACAATTTATCCTTATTCGAAGTGTAAATAAGTTCCTAAGTCAGTTGAAAAAAATGTTTTTTATACTTACCATCACGTCAACTGTTTCATATACATTCAACACAACACCTAACAAGTTGAAGTGATATCAGTTCACAGTTTCTCAAGAGAAGAATAATAAGATGGGGTCATGTGATATATCACACCATTATCATCGATTATGGGCACTGAAGAGATTCGTCTCTCCGCAAAAATATTTACAACTTCAATAACAGGAGTAGACATTTTTGCAGTAGCAATGTCATTATACACTCCAATCTTTATTTCTGAAAGTGGCTTTCGAAAATCTTTCGTTTCCTTGCACTATATAAATCATATATACGCAGGGCATGTAGTTCCGTGTATTCATATAAAAATAAGAATATGAAATATCTTACGTTCATTGCTATAAATTTAAGTATCCTATATTGTGTTAATACTGATACAATCATTTCTTGGCCAGTCTCTGAATCAACATCGACCAATGGTAATCGATGTACACGAGCTTCTACCAATAATTTACAAGCTTCATATAATGATTTTAACGGATGTATTGACAGTAATTGTGGTGGTGGTGAACCCAAGCGACTTTCCACATCTAAATAAATAAATAAATTTATATTATTTAAAAATAATCGACTCTTCATAAAAGGTAAATTGTAATATAGATAATTACCTCTCAATTGTTGAATCTGAAATTGTTCAATTTCTTCTAACGCAACGGTATAAGATGAATGCTTATAATAATAATGTATTAGGTTAATAAAATCGGATACTGTCAACATTCCGGCAAATTTTTGATTGTTTGAATCCCAAAGTGGTGCCGATACAACTCCTGTACGAAAAAATCATTGATGGCATTGAGACGGTTATACCCAGTGCTGGCCCACAAAGAAAATCGATCAGAACTAAGGCTTTGTGGCGTTAGCATCACAAAGAATTTGTTCGTGTTTCACGCGTGATAAATACTTACCATTCTGCATTAATGCAGCCAAAGCCTTCTTCACAAGTAAGCTAGTATCTAACACTATTACCCTGTAGCTTACTGGCAATACATCATATGAAGAATGCTGTTTCAAAAAGTCACTGATATAATTGTTGAGCGAGTCCATTTTCCTAAAGCCGGTGTAAGACGAAAGAATAAACCCTTGACAAAATAGCAAAGCCCTAGCTAAAGACAAACACGGCGAAAGACTAGCTTATAGAGAAGCTAAAACCTCTAGCAAAAGACAAAACTCCTTGTAAAAGATATAAAACCTCAGGAAAAGATGCCTTGAAAAACAAGACAATGAAATATACTGTCATTCACCAAAATTTTCTAGCATGTGATGTGTTACGTGAAAATCATGATTTGTCTACGTATGAAATAAATTCCCTGCAAAAATTTTGACATCTGATATTATATAAATGAGCTAATCGCATGTACAAAAGATTTATATATAAGCTTATATTCTAGAATTTTTTTTTTTTTAGATGAATTAATCATGTTCATGTTGTACAAAGTTATAAATTTGATTGATCCAAGATAATCGTATAACTTTAAAAAATATTTCGTTGTATTGGCATAACGATAACATTACAAATGACCGAAAAATCAAAGCAAGAAAAAACTTTTTTTTCTACTGTTCATGCTGAAGCTAGAGTTGAAGAACCTGAAGAGACTGTTCAGGAAGACCCAGAGGACCCAAAACCAGCGATCGAAGAAGGTATTTTATCATGAATGTCGGTTTAAGTTACGTCTATTTATTATTATTTATACACATTTTAATGTCAAACGATTCAATTATAATTAGCTTGTGGCAACACTTCGGCTTGTGCACCCCTAAAACATCACATCGAGGAATGTAATAATCGTGTTGAGGCCGGTGGGACTGAAGAAACTTGTAAGCTATTAATTATTCACATTCTTACAAGGCAGAGTTTTGCAGAGTTTTACACATTTAATAACTTGATTTTTATTCTGATGATCAAAACAAGGTGTTGAAGAACTTTTACATTTTCTGCATTGCGTCGACAATTGCGTAAATAATTGATAGATTGTTTGTATTTCATTTTTTTCATATTAATACACATCTGACTCTTCTATTCTTATGTAGGTTGCCCCAAAGCTTTTCGCTCAATTGAAATAATTTTTGTTAATAATACAACGAATAAATCATCAGTTTTTTGAGTCTATTTTTTTTTTGTTTTTTACAGTAAAGTACCAAAATGACAAGTGTAGAATTCTATATTTATATCTGTACATATCTTTAGAACCTATAAGAATTAGACGATAAGTGATGCTCGATGTTTGTATAGGAGTAATTTATACAGATCAATATAAGTGTGTTGATGTATTAATTTCGCAAGTTCTTCTCGAAGGCTCCCACATCAATGACAACGTATATATTATGGTTAGGTAAATGGCTATACTCGCATATACAGATGTTGAAATAATGTGTGGTGATTGCCAATCATAACCGAGCTATATAAAGAAAAAGACAAATTAGCTAATTGGATATACAGAAATTGGTAGTTAAGTAAAATAAAACCTGTCGCGACACGTTAGTAGTAGATCCACCTCGCCAGTGATTTGGATAAACGAAATGTGGTGTCCAACTTTCGTTCCCTAAAACACGCTTTTGTGATAGTAGCAAAGTGTATTCAATAAAATAATAATAATAATTTTGTTTTAAAAAGACGTGTATGAAGCTAAAAGATATAAAATTGAATAAAGACAAATACCTGAGAAAAACTATATCGGTTTAATCTGAACTTGTCCCAGTCTTGAATATGTAAATATAGTATACTTATCAGAACGAACAGACCATATTCAAAAATGAAATTGAAAGTTCGTATAGGTGGAAGATCTTTTGCGTCCATTATAATCAACGCTAAAGACAAGTTGTACGTCAATAGTACGTACCAGTGTTTCAAACCGAAAAAGTTGGAATACGTGATGATGATCATCCCATTTATCCAATCAAAGATGTGGTCAATTTTCGTATAGTAAACCGTTTTTCCTGCTACCAAGACCTATTAATTATATCTCGAATCTTTCCGACCTTTACGCTCGTACTTATGTCGAGGAACAGTGCCAGGACATAAGCACGACAGAAATTCTATTTATCCGCCTATGATACAAGAATTTTGTCAATTTGCTGCGGAATGCGGAACTAGTGATTGTACTGTACATCCTTCATTAAATTTCGCAATAATATATCGCAGTTAGAATGCTCATCATAATTGGATATCTTTTTTGAAAAAATATTCTATTTGAGTGCTGCCAAGGGATAAAGGCCGTTCGGACTTTCAATATATTTTGTGTATAATCAACCGTCTATGGGAAATTTATCATCATAGTAAATTTTCCGTAGATGGATAACTACACAAAATATATTGAAAGTCCGAACGGCCTTTTTCCCTTGGCAGCACTCATTTCAGTTTTGTTTATAATAATAAAAAATTTTAAATAAAATAATATTTAATTGCCAATCATATAAATGATTATTATTATTTATTTTTATTTTTTTTAATTTTTTGCAGTCTTGTTATAAACCTTTATTAAAATTCTTATACATAAAATATACATAAAATATGTATATTTTAATTTAAATTTTTTGGTCTATCATTCTTTAATTGTTTCTATAAGTGCTTAGAAGTGGTCTGCCACACTGGTTGGGAATATACTGTCACAGACTATAAGGGTAAGAATAAAAATAAAGCAGATGCAACGAATTGTTACTTGAGAAATGAGTATGCTATATAACATTCCACAACGGATGATAGAGGTGGTTTTTTGATTTGACACAGATTCAAATGATAGTTAAGGAGTATTACAGAAGAGTAAATAACTTAAAGAACATTTAGTTGATAATTGGTCTTTTACTTTTTGTGAAATGATTTTTTAAGTATTTTATTATTAATCAATTTTTTTGTAAAACAGAATTGAAAATGCATTCTTTTTGTAAGAATTTACAGAAAAACAAGAAGAATATTTTTGAAAATTTAGTTATTACACTAACATATTATCTCTATTATTCTAAATTTTTTTTTTCTTTTAACTAATTTTTTTATTTTTACAGTCTCTAGTTCTTTAATAACATTTAATATTTAAAATATTTTTAATATTGTTTATTAGTTGCAAAAAATCATATAGATGCATAATTAAGCTTAAGTATAATTACAAGTGTTTCTTAACTTAGTAATATTTACTTATTAATTTATTTTAATCTTTATTTTTGTCAATTGGATAAATACAGATTGCTTTATTATTTTAAATTTATTAATATTAATTGTTTTGAAAATTTAATAATTGTAATAATAATTTTATGCAACATTAATTTAGAGCTTTATTTTTTATCTATTTTAGATATTTTTTGTAAATCTAAAAATACAAGTTTTATTATTAAAAAACTTAAATTTGAAGTTATATTAAATTAGCTTAGATAATTGTATACAAATAATTTTTACTTGAATTTTTCTTACAATTAGTCTAGTTATTTTTTATTAATTTTACCTCTGTATTTTTTTTTTTGTTTTTATATTAATTTTTTTTTTTTACAAAATAAAAATTTTATATCTTTTTTTTTATATATTTTTATAAAATTTATTATGTTATATTAATTGCTTTTTTATTATAATAATATTTAAAAGAAACTTTATTATATATAGGAACATAAGTTCTAAATTTAAAGATTTTTAAATTATATTTATATTATAAGAGACATTCAATATAACATTACACTCTTTATTTTCTATAGATGCTATAACTAATTATTTTAAATTAAATTTTTAGCTAAAATAAGTTAAAGAAAACTTTTAAATAATTGTTTGAATATTAGTTAGTACAAGTAATTAATAAGTAATTTTATAAATATTATTTAGTAATAACAGAATTAGTATTAATAAGTTAAAAAGAAGTTGTAATATTATATAAAAAATTAGACAGAATTGGTAAACTAATTTTTGTATATGTAATTTAGATATAATGCTACAAATTTGTTTCTATTAATATTAATATATATTATAAATAGATCAAAAATCTTTATAAAACTAGTTAAATA